TGAACTGAACTGACTGAACATGAACTGAACATGAACTGAACATGAATTGAACTAGAACTGAACTAGAACTGAACTAGAACTGAACTAGAATTGAACTAGAACTGAACTAGAACTGAACTAGAACTGAACTAGAACTGAACTAGAACTGAACTAGAACTGAACTAGAACTGAACTAGAACTGAACTAGAACTGAACTAGAACTGAACTAGAACTGAACTAGAACTGAACTAGAACTAGAACTGAACAAGAAAAGAACTGGAACAGAACTAGAACAGAACTAGAACAGAACTAGAACAGAACTAGAACAGAACTAGAACATAACTAGAACAGAATTAGAAAAGAACTAGAACTAAAGCAGAACTAGAACAGAACTAGAACAGAACTAGAACTGAACTAGAACTGAACTAGAACAGAACTAGAACAGAACTAGACTGAACTAGAACTGAACTAGAACTGAACTAGAACTGAACTAGAACTGAACTAGAACTGAACTAGAACTGAACTAGAACTAAACTAGAACTGAACTAGAACTGAACTAGAACTGAACTAGAACTGAACTAGAACTGAACTAGAACTGAACTAGAACCGAACTAGAACTGATGTAAAAATGAAGTAGAACTGAACTAGAACTGATGTAAAAATGAAGTAGAACTGAACTAGAACTGAACTAGAACTGAACTAGAACTGAACTAGAACTGAACTAGAACTGATCTAGAACTGAACTAGAACTGAACTAGAACTGAACTCGAACTGAACTAGAACTGAAGTAGAACTGAACCAGAAGTGAGTATATATTAACGAATTTATTTTTCCCCTTAACCAATATGCATACGCTCATTTGATTGTGCATGTATTGTTCTGTTGTCACATGAAGGATATAAAGTATCTACTTCCGTTATATATATATATATATCTGTTTCTGCTGTTTTTAGACAGAAATTTACATAAAATTCCATTAGTGTCCTGCAGTTTAAAAAAAGTTAATGTATTAATTTTTGATGTGAATGGCTACTACATTGTCCCCAAGTAATCTAGAGTGTAGGTACATTTAGTTGTTTCAATCAGTATTCTAGGTGTGATTTGTTTGAGGTATATTGTTGAATCTTTCTGTATACTTCGGAACAGTTACTCCAAACTGCAGGGTATGGATGTACTTACTTATACATACACTTTATATTTATATACATAGTTCATTTATTTGTATGTGTAAGTATGTTTTTTTATTTTTGCTTGTGTACATTTGACGAGGACATTAAAAAGGCTTAAATGTTGTCAATACAATATAAACATACATACTTATGACTGCAATTGTTTACTCATATCAGTGACATACAATTTATCATTAATTTCTTTTTCGCTCTTAACTCTGTGTATATTTTTGTAGCAGACTTTAAAATTTATAGTTATTTATGCAAGTGATTATTTTTTAAATGTACAAAATATAAAAAAAAAATACTTCAATATAAAGCATTGTAGTTTAAATATAATAGCCTTACAATTACATACTATACAACAGTATTTCTTGTATGGTATTGTTGTTACATTTAAGTTGTTTTTTAAAAATTTGACTGACAGTTGCTTTTGCGTGTTGTTGTACGAGTGTTACCATGAGCATTTATGTTTATACTCTTTTCCACAGATAATATTTTAAACTGACAATTGGATTTTATGCCACAGTAATTTTGTGATTGTTAATTTTCTCTGCATTCATGTGTAAATGATAAATTTTGTTTAAAAGGATTTACAAAAAAAAAAAAAAATTACAATATTTTAATTATGTATGTGTGTGTGTATGTGTTGGTGCGTTTATGGATATTGCTTTAATAATTTAATTGTTTGAAAATAATGATGGACAAGAGAAGGAAATCTACTTAAATGAAAAATATGCCGAGAGTGATAAGAACTGACCGACACAGGATTAGTTCTATAACTTAAAACTAATTTTAACTGAACTGGATCAGAACTTGAAGAGAACTATAACAGAATTACAACAGAACTAAAACAAAACTTGAACAGAACTATACAGAACAATAACTGAACTAGAGCTGAACTGAAGTAGAACAGAACTAGAATTAAAATAGAACTAAATTATATCTAAACTAGAACCGAACTAGATTTGTACTAGAACTGAACTAGAAGAGAGCTAGATTTGTACTAGAACTGTTCTAGATCTGAATTAGAACTGAACTAGAAATGAACTAAAACAAAACTAGAATAGAAATAGAACAGCACTAGAACAGAACTTGAACTAGAACTTTATTAGAACAGAACTAGAACTGTACTAGAACAGAACTAGACCAGAACTAGAGCAGAACTACAACAGAACTAGAACAGAACTGGAACAGAACTAGAACAGGACTAGAACTGAACTAGAACTGAACTAGAACAGAACTAGAACAGAACTAGAACAGAACTAGAACAGAACTAGAACAGAACTAGAACAGAACTAGAACAGAACTAGAACAGAACTAGAACAGAACTAGAACAGAACTAGAACAGAACTAGAACAGAACTAGAACAGAACTAGAACTGAACTGAACTAGAACTCAACTAGAACTGAACTAGAACTGAACTAGAACTGAGCTAGAACTGAACTAGAACTGAACTAGAACTGAACTAGAACTGAACTGAACTAGAACTGAACTAAAACTGAACTAGACCTGAGCTAGAACTGAACTTGAACTGAACTTCAACTAAACTAGAACTGAACTAGAACTGTACTAGAACTGAACTAGAACTGAACTAGAACTGAACTAGAGCTGAACTAGAACTGAACTAGAACTGAACTAGAACTGAACTAGAACTGAACTAGAACTGAACTAGAACTGAACTAGAACTGAACTAGAATTGAACTAGAACTGAACTAGAACTGAACTAGAACTGAACTAGAACTAGAACTGAACTAGAACTGAACTACAACTGAACTACAACTGAACTACAACTGAACTAGAACTGAACTAGAACTGAACTAGAACTGAACTAGAACTGAACTAGAACTGAACTAGAACTGAACTAGAACTGAACTAGAACTGAACTAGAACTGAACTAGAACTGAACTAGAACTGAACTAGAACTGAACTAGAACTGAACTAGAACTGAACTAGAACTGAACTAGAACTAGAACTGAGAACTGAACTAGAACTGAACTAGAACTGAACTAGAACTGAACTAGAGCTGAACTAGAACTGAACTAGAACTGAACTAGAACTGAACTAGAACTGAACTTGAACGGAACTAGAACTGAACTAGAACTGAACTAGAACTGAGCTAGAACTGAACTAGAACCGAGCTAGAACTAGAACTGAACTAGAACTGAACTAGAACTGAACTAGAACTGAACTAGAACTGAACTAGAACTGAACTAGAACTGAACTAGAACAGAACTAGAACTGAACTAGAACTGAACTAGAACTGAACTAGAACTGAACTAGAACTGAACTAGAACTGAACTAGAACTGAACTAGAACTGAACTAGAACTGAACTAGAACTGAACTAGAACTGAACTAGAACTGAACTAGAACTGAACTAGAACTGAACTAGAACTGAACTAGAACTGAACTAGAACTGAACTAGAAACTGAACTAGAACTGAACTAGAACTGAACTAGAACTGAACTAGAACTGAACTAGAACTGAACTAGAACTGAACTAGAACTGAACTAGAACTGAACTAGAACTGAACTAGAACTGAACTAGAACTGAACTAGAACTGAACTAGAACTGAACTAGAACTGAACTAGAACTGAACTAGAACTGAACTAGAACTGAACTAGAACTGAACTAGAACTGAACTAGAACTGAACTAGAACTGAACTAGAACGGAACTAGAACTGAACTAGAACTGAACTAGAACTGAACTAGAACTCAACTAGAACTGAACTAGAACTGAACTAGAACTGAACTAGAACTGAACTAGAGCTGAACTAGAACTGAACTAGAACTGAACTAGAACTGAACTAGAACTGAACTAGAACTGAACTAGAACTGAACTAGAACTGAACTAGAACTGAACTAGAACTGAACTAGAACTGAACTAGAACTGAACTAGAACTGAAATAGAACTGAAATAGAACTGAACTAGAACTGAACTAGAACTGAACTAGAACTGAACTAGAACTGAAATAGAACTGAACTAGAACTGAACTAGAACTGAACTAGAACTGAACTAGAACTGAACTAGAACTGAACTAGAACTGAACAAGAACTAAACTAGAACCAGAACTGAACTGGAACTGAACTAGAACTGAACTACAACTGAACTACAAGTGTACTAGAACTGAACTAGAACTTAACTAGAACAGAACTAGAACTGAACTAGAACTGAACTAGAACTGAACAAGAACTAGACTAGAACTGAACTAAGCTAGAATATAACTAGATTTGTGCTAGAACTGAACTAGATTTGTACAAGAAATGAACTAGAACTGAACTAGAACTGAACTAGAACTGAACTAGAACTGAACTAGAACTGAACTAGAACAGAACTAGAACAGAACTAGAACAGAACTAGAACAGAACTAGAACAGAACTAGAACAGAACTAGAACAGAACTAGAACAGAACTAGAACAGAACTAGAACAGAACTAGAACAGAACTAGAACAGAACTAGAACAGAACTAGAACTGAACTAAGCTAGAATATAACTAGATTTGAACAGAACTAGAACTGAACTAAGCTAGAATATAACTAGATTTGTGCTAGAACTGAACTAGATTTGTACAAGAAGTGAATTACAACTGTATTAGAATTGAACTAGAACTGAATTCTAACAACATAAAAATAACAATTTATTACCTTACCCCATAAATTTACTTTTTATACATTTACTTAATGGGCCTTAAAGAATACTTTGTGTTCATTTAAGGGTTAATTTCTTTACAGCACCCAAAAGTATGTTAATTATTTTGACGCTACGCTAAAGTGAATATTAATTAAAATAAAGAGTTTTTAAAAAATATGCAAGTTACATATATATATATTTTTTTAATTAAAATACTTACTTATGAATTTGACTTTCTTCGATAACCTTGGTTGTTTTGAACGTATTTTATTGGCTTTCTTAATTGGTGCCTGTCTCCTTGATACTATATGCGGCCAATTAAGGAGTTTTTAAAGAAAAATAATTGCAACAAAAATAGATTTTTTTTTTTTTTGGGGGGGGGGAGGGTTTAAAAATAAAATATAACATAAAAATGTATAAGGGAATAAAAGAAAGAAATTTTAAGAAAAAGAGAGAAGAAGAGAGAAAAAAGGAGTTAATTAAAAATGTTATTAACAAATTTTACAAGTTGTTTTGTGGTTTTTATACAAAATTTTGCTAAATATGAAAGTAGAATATTTAATTTTTAGTTTATTTTGTTGTACAACAAAATGCAAAACCATTATTTTTTTTACCTTTATATTTATTTAACTAAAAGTAGACTTTTTTTAAAATTTGTTGTATATTTGTGTTGTTTTTATGCTTTTTATTTTGTTTGTTAAAGCACAATAACACAGCCTAAAGGTATGCTTAAGTTTTACCTTGAAAACAACACAAAAGCATAGAACTGAAAGAATTGTAAGAAAAACCATGAAAAATGTTACTTTTTTCATAAGAGCTTTTCATTTTTATTTAAATTAATACAATTTTTTTTTACATTTTGTTTTTCTTTTTTTTCCTGGGGTTTACTTTCTTCTAAGGAAACACACAGCCCTTGAATGTTTGTTTAACCGCCTGTAAAACAATGGAAAGACAGAGCAGACCACAGCTGTTGGCAAAACCAATTTGGTTAACTTGAACAAAAAGTAAGTTAAATACAAATTTACATATTTACAGAAAACAAAAACACTATACAAATATTATATTTTTATTACATTTATACACATTTACTCGTTTGTTGTAATATTTACATTTAAAATTACAATATTTGCCACCACATGACACAGTCAGTGATGCTCCTCATCTTCCATCTTCAAATTATATTTTATTTAGTTTGGAAAATTGTTTAGAATCTAAAAAAATGTTTTTCTTATTTCTTGTTTTGTTAAGAGTAAAATCAAATTGTAAAAGTAATTTCCATAAAATTGTTTGCTTAATGTTTAGCTATTGTCACAGACAGTTTTGTTACAAATTATAATTGTTTCCAACAATAACAGTTTTAATTATAACTAAAAAAGAAAGAAAGTTTTTCCCACAAATGAACTTTAATTCTTAAGAAAATTGTAAATATTTGTTTAGAGTAAAGAACATCATTACATTTTATGTTATTTTGATAAGATTATAATGTCAATTGTTTGAAAATTATAGCAAAAGGGTTTAAAATATTAAGATTTTAATATTCATCTACTAATTAATCTACTAATTGCCACTTAAAGGCTTTAAAATGCTTTACTAATTGTCATTTAAAGCTATTTGTTACTTAAATTAGGCTTTAAAATAGTAATTAAAGTTATTCCTAAAAGTAGGCAATAGTTTTAAAACAATTTAAAGTCTTGAAATGAACATTAAATTTAAGTATTTAATCATTACGATAAGTTTTTAATGTTCATTTTAGTGAAAATTTATCATTTACACATCATTCCAACTTCAGCCTAAAAGTATTCAGTATTTTTTTAAAAATCTCTTAAATACCTTCTAAAGATTTCGTTTAAATATCTAATCTATCCCGGTGTAAACATACTTTAACTAGACTATAGAGTATACTATAGCGACTATAGACAACTATAGACTAGACTAGATAGACTATAGACTGGATATAGACTATACTATAGACTGACTATAGACTAGACTATAGACTAGACTATAGACTAGACCATAGACTAGACTATAGACTAGACTATAGACTAGACTATAGACTAGACTAATAGACTAGACTATAGACTAGACCTAATAGACTAGACTATAGACTAGACTATAGACTAGACTATAGACTAGACTATAGACTAGACTATAGACTAGACTATAGACTAGACTATAGACTAGACTATAGACTAGACTATAGACTAGACTATAGACTAGACTATAGACTAGACTATAGACTAGACTATAGACTAGACTAGACTATAGACTAGACTAGACTATAGACTAGACTAGACTATATACTAGACTGGATTATTGACTAGACTAGACTATATACTAGACTGGATCATTGACTAGACTAGACTATAGACTAGACTATAGACTAGACTATAGACTAGACTATAGACTAGACTATAGACTATACTATAGACTAGACTATAGAATAGACTAGACTATAGAATAGACTAGACTATAGAATAGACTAAACTATAGAATAGACTAGACTAGAATAGACTAGACTATAGACTGACTATAGACTAGACTAGACTATAGACTAGACTATAGACTAGACTATAGACTAGACTATAGACTAGACTATAGACTAGACTATAGACTAGATGACTAGACTAGACTATAGACTAGACTATAGACTAGACTATAGACTAGACTATAGACTAGACTATAGACTAGACTATAGACTAGACTATAGCTAGACTATAGACTAGACTATAGACTAGACTATAGACTAGACTATAGACTAGACTATAGACTAGACTATAGACTAGACTATAGACTAGACTATAGACTAGACTATAGACTATAGACTAGACTATAGACTAGACTAGACTATATACTAGACTGGATTATTGACTAGACTAGACTATATACTAGACTGGATTATTGACTAGACTAGACTATAGACTAGACTATAGACTAGACTATAGACTATACTATAGACTAGACTATAGAATAGACTAGACTATAGAATAGACTAGACTATAGAATAGACTAGACTATAGAATAGACTAGACTATAGAATAGACTAGACTATAGAATAGACTAAACTATATAATAGACTAGAATAGACTAGACTATAGAATGGACTATAGACTAGACTATAGACTAGACTATAGACTAGACTATAGACTAGACTATAGACTAGACTATAGACTAGACTATAAACTAGACTATAGACTAGACTATAGACTAGACTATAGACTAGACTATAGACTAGACTATAGACTAGACTATAGACTAGACTATAGACTAGACTATAGACTAGACTATAGACTAGACTATAGACTAGACTATAGACTAGACTATAGACTAGACTATAGACTAGACTATAGACTAGACTATAGACTAGGCTATAGACTAGACTATAGACTAGGCTATAGACTAGACTATAGACTAGACTGGATTATTGACTAGACTTTAGACTAGACTATGACTAGAAATTTGTTAATATTACTATTAAAAAAAAAAGAAAAACCAATGCCTACCTTAAGGAGCCAATTTAATAAGAAACAAAAGCCTACTTTTAGGTGTCAATTAAATAAAAGTTCTTAAGTAAACTCTCACAAATTATAAATAAAAAGTATTTTTCACCTAGTGTCATCTTATTTCAAATAAACCCAATTGAAATCATTTCAAAAAACCTCTTAATCAGTTTGTCCTGTCAATACCTTACACCAATTCCTACCTCGCAGCGCAAAAACAAATTACCACAAATATTTATCTAGATGGAAGTTGTTGCCAAAATTGTCTAAATAAAATTTAAATGTTAGTTCGTAAGAAAAAAAAAAAAAACTAATTCCCTTAAACAGACAAAAAAAAACCAATCTAAAATTCAAGTGTTAAATAGAAAAATTTGTCATTTTTCCAATAAACATGAGAGGAAAAAAAAAACGAAAATAAAATTTTCAACAGCAAGACCGGAATAAATAATAAAGTCATTGTAAAACCAAGCCAAAGCCAGAGAAGAGAATGAGAGAGAGGAAGAAAAATTTATATAAAAAATATGGTTGCAGCTTTTAAGACAAGATAATTTATGGTTTTGACAGTTACTGAAGCATAAAAACGCTTTAAATGCTAAACACAAAGGGATAAATACTAAAAGAGAAAGAGAGAGCGAGAAGGTATAGGGAGGGCAGGGTAAAGAGAAAAAAGGTAAATGGTTAAAAATGTTTAAACACTAAAACTAAAAGTTTTTAAGCAACCACAACATATAGTATATACATATATAAAATATAAATTAATGGTTTACATTTTATACAGCATACCACTAGGATGATGATAATAATAATTTTTATAGCTTGACAAAAAGGGGCAAATGTAGTAGACGAAAAAGCAACAGTTTTGATGTTATGTTTTTTAATAAACTATAAAAACGGAGTACATAAATAGTTTCTTTTCTTTTATCACTCATTTTTATAAATGATGTAACAATTATTATTTATAGCATAGTTTTGGGTGGAGAAAAAACGAAATTATTAATCATGCCACTATTAGCATAAATTAAGACACATAAATAAAAAAAGATTTATGTGAAAAAGTGAAGCGAGTTAAAACATTTTTTGTGAGATTTAAATGGCAAACGACTGGGTTAGTGGTAAAAAATATTGGCATACTTTTGGGAGTTAAATATGAAATATTTAGTGTGATTTTTATTTGAAGATATTAATTAAACATTTGGAGGGACATTTTACTATTCCAAATATGAACAAGTTTAATTTCAGTTTAGTTCCAGTTCGAATTCAGTTTTGGTTCTGCTCTAGTTAGGTCCTAGTTCTGTTCTATTTTACTTCTATTCTAGTTTTATTCTAGTTCTGTTATCGTTTTGTTCCAGTTCAGATCTAGTTCTGTTCTAATTTTGTTCAAGTTCTGTTCTAGATGTGTTTTGTTTTAGTTCTGTTCAAGTTTTGTTCTAGTTCTGTTCTAGTTCTGTTCTAGTTCTGTTCTAGTTCTGTTCTAGTTCTGTTCTAGTTCTGTTCTGTTCTACTTCTATTCTAGATCTGTTCTAGTTCTGTTCTAGTTCTGTTCCAGTTCTGTTCTAGTTCTGTTCTAGTTATGTTCTAGTTATGATCTAGTTCTGTTCCAGTTCTGTTCTAGTTCTGTTCTAGTTCTGTTCTAGTTCTGTTCTAGTTCTGTTCTAGTTCTGTTCTAGTTCTGTTCTAGTTCTGTTCTAGTTGTGTTCTAGTTGTGTTCTAGTTCTGTTCTAGTTCTGTTCTAGTTCTGTTCTAATTCTGTTCTAGTTCTGTTCTAGTTCTGTTCTAGTTCTGTTCTAGTTCTGTTCTAGTTCTGTTC